CAAAAATACAAGAATCACCACTGAAATCGGGGTGAAAAAAACCAAGTTTGAGTTTCTTTTCATCGAGTTACAGCGCTGGCCCCCGGGGGCTGAGCATCCACCTCGTACCTCCACTGCAGCAGAGCCACAGCCAGCCTGTCAGCGCATCCCCAGCACAGGCCTGTCCGGTGCCCTGCACAGCAGTGCGCGCTCTTTGACCTGTAAGAGGCTTCTCAACCAAACCCACAGGGGATTTAAGAAAACTACGATAAAAACCGCTACCTATTTCCCTCCGCCAAGACGGGGGCGTGTCCCCCGTGATGTTACACAGAAAGGACACCGCTGCCGATTTTTATCTTAAACCACGCCCTTTCTGAAGTATCCCTCTCCCTTCCTTCCTTTAGTCCCATCATTTTTAACGCCTGCGGAAGGGGCGCGGGTTGCCGAGCAGGAAACACGAACTGTGTGGAGCAGCTCCCCCCTCACCGGCCGGGCCCGGGCGGCCGCGGAGCCGCAGCGCTCCCCAGCGGCGGCTGAGCCGCGGCCGAGCGGGAGCATCCCGGCTCCGGGATCGCCTGCGCTCCCCCTCCGACCCCGACTCAAGGGTAAAGAAAGGCAGGGAAGGAAGGGGGGGAAAAAGAGCACAAAAAAAGAATAAAAAGAAAAAACAAAAACAACAACAAAAAAAACCCAAACAAGGTTGAAAAAACAAAGATGGAACGGGAAAAAATGAATAGAAAGGAAAAGAAAGGGAAAAGGAAGGATAAGAGGAAGAAAAAGGAAGGGAAAAAAAGAAGAAAAAAGTAAAAAAAAGAAAAATAAGAAAAAAGAAGAAAAAAGAAGAAAGAAGAAGAAAAAAAAAGAAGAAAAAGAAGAAAAAAAAAGAAGAAAAAAGAAGGAAAAAGAAAAAAGAGGAAGAAAAAAAAGAAGGAAAAAGAAGGAAAAAGAAGAAAGAAGAAAAAAAGAAGAAAAAAGAAGGAAAAGAAGAAAGAAGAAGAAAAGAGAAGAAAAAGAAGAAAAAGAAAAAAGAAGAAAAAAAGAAGAAAAAAGAGGAAAAAAAAGAAGAAAAAAGAAGGAAAAGGAAGAAAAAAGGGGGAAAAAGAAGAAGGAGAAAGAAAGAAAGAAAGAAAGAAAAACGAAGAAGAAAAAAGGAAGAAGGAAAAGAAGAAATACGGGGGGGAGGGGGGAGGAATGAGGGGAAGGAAATAAGAGGGATGGAGGAAACGGGGAAAAGGAAAAAAGGGAGGGAATAAAGAAAGAAAGGAAAAAAAAGAAAAAGAAAAAAACCACCCTAAACTAGTATAAATGCAGAGAAAAATTTTTTACAACGGTCTGGAAGATCTGTATCAATAAACCGAGACATCTGCACACAGCAGCACCTCCCCAAGCCACAGTGGGCGCTTGACAGCGCTCACCTTGCACAGATGCTGACCCGGGTACTCCTCCGCTTCCTGCAGAACAGGAGCTGAGGTTCCCACAGGCAGCAAAGCTGCCCCAGGAGATTGTACCAGGGGCCGAGACTTGCTGGAGGCTCAGCTAGAGAGAAATGTGGCTGCTTGCAGCCAAGAGATGCTCCCCTGAGCAGCAGCGTTCAGAGGAAGGAGGGAGCTGAAGGGCGGACCCACCGGCAGGTCTGCAGCCCCCGGTGCGCTGTGTGCGGCAAAGCAGCACCTCCGCCACAGCCCAGGTACAAGTGCTCGGGCTCAAGCCCTGCTGGGCGGGGCTCTCTGCTGAACAGAAACTTGAAATACGTAGTTTCGGCTCGAACTTGGAAAATATGCACGGCTTGGAAAGCGGTGAAAGGAGGGAGCGATGCTCAGCACCCTCAAAGGAGGAGGCGGAGGGGTTTGGGAATTCCCAGCGCCCCATCAGCCCGCAGGCGCGGTGTCCCCGCGGTCCCCGCGGCAGCACTGCCACCTGGTGCTCAGGGACACGCTCACACCCGCCCGGGCGACAGCCGCGATTCCTACCACCCATCTGCGTCCCTCAGCAGACCGAGCCCACACCCATCGTAGCCCATTTCCTAAGGGAAGAGTTTCTCCAGCAGTACGACGTCTCCTCTCCCTATACAGAGCACCGCTTGCTCCCGGTGAGCTGTGACAGCTACACGTCGTTCTTAGCAGGGCTTTCCCCTCCACGTCACAAGCGGTTCTTGAGCTTTTGCACTTGTGGCAGCTCTGCGACAGAAGCGCAGGTGCCCCGTGCTACAGGCGACAGGTCAATGAAATGATCTGTCTCATCATCTCCACATTAAAAACAAACAAAAAAAAACAACCAAAAAAAAATCTGCATGTGGTTTGACTGGACTATTTGTTGAATTTGTAATATTTTACCATGCTAGTCTGAAAAAACTTGGAAGAACTGAAAGGAAGGAAAATTTATTTCTTTGCCAGTCAAACGCTTGCTTATTCTTTTATTCAAGGTGCTTTATTCTAAGTAGTTTTAACAAGTTAGAAACAAAGTGTGATTTTTTCTGTTGGAGTTTTGGACAAAACGTGACAAATCTTATCCCTTCCCTCCAAACTTTTTGCACTGCACAAACTCCCAGGTCTGTAGTTCTCCCAGCACTAAGTTAAACTCTCTTTCCCCTTTGCAGCATGCAGCCCTTGTGCTCTGTACCTAGCAAATCCGAGTGCAAATTCTAAGCTAGAATTGCTCCCTGCTAAACGTAAAGGTCCATAACTGACACTGGAAATGCCTACTTTCTTCCACGGATCTTGCTCTGCTTTACATATTTCAGAAATCCAAGTGCACGCTTCAGGTCACCTTCACTTTCCGCTGAAAATGCAACCAGCAACAGGGCAGAACAAATCACCTGTGTAACAGCACGGAGCAGCACCCCACAATGTCCCTGTCAGACCAGTCAGGGGACAGCACCCCAAAGGAGATGGAGACTTTGGAGCAAGCCATAGGCAGCCCCGTCAGAAGCTGACTGGAGCCTCGGAGGAGGCATCATGAAACACCTTGGCCTTGTTCTACAGAGAACAAAGTCTGTAAACAGAGAGACCACATGGCTTCAGTGCGTCTTTCCTCCATGTAAGGTGTACACAACAGTTTCTTACCCACTCCTTCACTCCTGCCTGGTCCTGGTCACTGCAAGCCAGGACTCACTCAGAAGCAGGAGTCAGCTGCAGTTGTTTCACACACAAAGTTTACTAGGGAGGCAGGTTTTGCCCCTTTACCATCTATTTTAGCATAGTCATCCTATACAAAGAGGGGAGCTGAGAAGCTTCGGTTCTGCAGTTTAGCTGTCTGAATATACAACCAGCAAAGTTTGGTGAGTGTCTCTGGGTATACTGCCAAGTGATAAGGGACACCACTCACACAGATGTACTACTGCAACAGTTCCAGATATTACAACCTGCAGCGTAATGTAGGTGCACAGGTTACAAAGAAAAACATTAGCTAACTAGCTTGGCCTCAGCTTGTTCATTTGCCTGCAAGTTGTGAAAGTCCCTGCTCAATATGTTATTCATAGCTATTTATTTATATTGCCTTGAGCGGTTCTTGCTCTGCCAGTCATGCAAGCCCAACATTTGTAATTTGTCCTATAAAATAGGAAATTAACCTAGGAAAGAGGCTGCATACAGCTTTCCACCGCAGCATTAATGTCAAGCATTATATTCCATTTTAACAGAACAAAATGGGTTTGTGCTGTACTGGTTAGTTGCTCACCTGGGAAAAGGAAATTTCCGTGGTTCTCTTGGTCCCACATCCTGACTCTGCAGCAAGAACTGAGAGTAGATCATAGGGGCAAATCTTTTAAGTTGTTTTGTGTTTTTGTTTTTTTTTTTTTTTTGGGGGGGGGGTACCTCAGGAAACAGATCTATTCAATATTTGTTCTTCAGATGATCCTTAAAATTTGCAGAAAATGAACAGAAAAAGCCACAAATGCAGCTATTCCTGTCTGAATACCCATTTCTGCTACTCAGAGGAAGGTGTTGGGTATTGCTTTATCTCAACACCAAACAAGTACTGCAGAGCCTTGGTTTAAATGAACTTATGTTGTAAAAAAGCAGTGCCTTTAGTGCTATCTGCTCTCTGATGGGGAAACATATTACAAAGTGAGACTGTAGCAGTCACTCACATCTCTGCCCTATTTAAATAAATCTTTGAGATTACCTTCCCCAACAAAATCACACTGATAGAGCCCATTATTTCTAATGCATCACCACTTTCTCTCCTGGGTCCTATTTTCCTCCCCAGCATAGCCTGTTTATACAATTAGGTGTTTCCTACCCTGGGAAACGGCCTTTGCAGTGTCATTGATCACAGCAAATAATAAGTACACAGAGGATGCTGCAAAGTCTCGGTGGGCCAACACCAAGCTCTCCTCTTTGCAATTGTTCCAATGGATTTTGCTTTGAGCAAGGTGTCAGAATAGCCAGAACAGCCTCCTATGTACCTGCAGCTCAACCCTGGGCACAGCCCAGCTATAAGACTAACTGGATTTGGAAAAAAAGAACACAGCTAGTACTCTACACTATTAGCTTTATGCTGGGAAAGTAATTAGGGTTTCTTTGGGATAGTTTCATTTTAGAGGGTTCTTCCCATTTTCTTGGTACTAAGTAACTACAAAGACTTTCCAGCCAATGCCTGATAGACCAATGTGAACAAGTGCAGTCACTTTTGCTTGAGCAGGACCTTGGCTCAGGCACATGATACTCCACCAAAAGCAGAAGAGGTGCAAATGCTGCTCCTATTTAAGCTGAAAGCTGGGGAGTCACTCTGGACTTAGAGAAGGGCTGCAAGCAGCAAGTTGAGCCCCAGTGACATTTCTCATGCTGTTGTTGGCGCAGGCAGACACAGTGCCACGAGCTCCTGCGTGACAGCCCCAGCACGCAGCCTGCAGCTCAGCATGGCCTCACGGGCTGGTATCACCCTCAGCAGCTGAACTGCAGGCAGCACAAAAACTCTCTTACCTAAAACTCATTCAGGTATGAAACATAGAGGTGTCTTCATCACATCCATTAATATAAGCTGGCTCTGAGCTTCCCACTCCTCCTCTCACCTTACAGTACCTGAGCTGGTGGTTTCTGCCTCACAGCAGGGAAATAAGTGTCCTGCAGAGCGACAAGCCCCTGGTTCCTCTGTGTGTCTGCACAGTTGGAAAAACATGGGTCCAGGACAGCTTTGCTTTTTGCAACACAGCGCAGCAACCCAAGCAGGCTCTGAGGGTCCCTGGAGGTTCATGCTCTGCTGTCATTGCCTCTGTGAGCTCATGGCAGGCTGGAATGGTGCTTCAGTCCCCCCACTCCCCAGGGCCTGCTTCCTCTTTTGGAGACTGAGGTAGTGGCCTGGCAGGGCTGCCAGTCTGGCAGGCTCTTGGGTGGCTCTGACCCAGCGTGACAGCAAGGAGCAAAAGACCCTGTCTCACTGTCATGCTTGTTTTCCTGTAGTCCCGCAGGTACCTTCTTGCAGCTAGTGAAAATTCAAAATGACTCTTAATGAATAATTAATTGTCCTCATCCTGAATCATCTTTAATGAATGAAAAGGCTAGAAACCTGCTGGGCGCAAGAACATGGCTCCGTGATTGGAGCACAGATGTGCATTTTGCATTTCTGCAGGTGTTCTCTGCAGAGCTGGTAGAGTTTCTGGGGCTGCAGGTTAAAATCCCTGTGCATTATCTCCCCTTGGGACCCATAAACCTGAAAATGCTGCAGGAGAACTGTTCATTTTCATTGAAGATGTCACATGCATCACAAACTGGGCACAGAAAATGCATTTCCCTGTGGAAAAGGCATTTCTGCAATGGGTGCAGAGAGAACAGTGGTGAGAAAGAAAACAGGCCAGGCTTAGCAGATATATTAAATGACTTCTGTTTCAGCACGGGTACTTGGAGCTCCCCAAGCCAAGTATCCATTTTCAGGCTATCCTCCACAGGGAGAGGGGGCTCTCAGCCACCCACCAGCTGCCATCACTGCACTAGTTCTGCAAAAGAGGGTTAATCTGTCCCTGCCACCAACGCTGCAGAGTGCATGGCCCATTTATCCCTGCCCAGGTTGCTGCAGCGCTGCCAGATCTGCCGGGGATTTGGCTGCTGAATGAGAGACTGAGGCTTAGGGAAGGGCTGACAATGGGTTCCAAACCTACACAGCATTCTAGCAGGGGTAAGTGTTCAAAAGGGAGCAATGAATTTCTTTGCATCTTTAGAAGCCAAGATTCTTGTTTAAGCAGTAAAGGCGCCCTTAGGAGCTCACCTTCCCCTCCCAGTGCTGGGCTTTGTACGTGGTGGCAGCACCACATTCCCCAGCCCCAGCAGCTGTGGGGGCAGAGGGCAAACTCACTCCAGTTCCCACCCACATGCAGCTCTCCCTGCAGCCATGTGGCTGAGCAGCCACGGGGGGCATCGAGGGGGATGCTTTGCCTCCTCATTAAACCAGGATAAGGAAGGAAAGGCCTTGGGCACAATTACCTTAATGAAGCTGGCAGCTCTGCTTGCTAACAGCACCTGATGCCTCGGGTTTGAGGCGCAGCTGCACAAACACAACTTCCAGCCCCCTATAAAAGCGTAAGTGCCCGGCAAAGCAAATACCTGTCTGAAAGGAGGTATTTGCTTTGGATACCGACGCTGCAGAGCAGGTGGCGAGTTTGCCTCTTAATTAAGCATGTGTTCGTGGAAAGCATCTGTGGGCTGAGAAGCCTCAGCCTTTCCCTGCTTCCACAGAAAGCAGCTGCCCCTGCCAGCAGCTGCCTCCCAGCTGGGTAATGATGTGGGTGACATTGGCCTTAATGCCCACAGGAGACCTGCGTGGTGCCGGCAGACACAGCGCAGACAGCAGTCAGAAGGTGGATGGTGTGGTTTGTTTCTTTCCTTCCAGCCTTCAGAAAGCACTAGTGACTTGCAGGGGACGAAAAACTAGAAACTACAGATGAAAAAGCGCAGCAAATGCTTTGGGGAGCAGAGAGAAAAGGAACCCGCATTCTGCCCAGCACAGATCTTTTGGACACGAATTTTGTGTCACGCGCGGCTGCAGGTCAGGCTGGCGAGCACAAGCAGCACTGTGACATATGGCAAGGAACAGTTTAAAGCCGTGGCTGCTCCCACCCTGCTCAGACCCAGTTTGCAGGCGGGAGGTGCGGAGGCTGCTCCTGCATGGGCTGAGTGAGCTGTTGGCAGGGTTCGATCAGTCTGCCTCGCTGCAGGATTTTCTGCTTTGCTGTGGAAATGTACCAGGACACATTCAAGTTCAGTCTGGCTCCAAAAGGACGTTCTTCAAAACTGGATTGATGGGCTCCTCTTTCCTGACCATCACAGGAATTCACTACAAATATTTACCATCTGCATCTCTGCTCCCCCTATTGAATATACTTTGGTTCCTTAAACCGATTATGTAGATATTTCACAGTGTCATAAAAAGCAGAAAGAGCACAGAATATTGCACAAGTGATTCATTCTGATAAGCATGCAAAGAACTTTAACAGGTATCACAAATTACATAAAAATGCTCTTTTCAGTTCCTTATCTTGTTTCATTCCATCTACAGTACAGACAAAAACCAACAAGTAAATAAAAGATGGAAAACATGGGCTGATGTTTTAAGGCTGGATGCCTCCAGATGTAGCTATCAATCTATATCACTAATTTTCAAATTTGCTGAGGGTTATCATTAAAGGAAAAGACATATACATGCACCTAAACTAGGTTATAGTTTTAAAAACTAGCTAGCAGATTTGTATCTCTTGCTAGTTTCACAAATAAGTAGAAATTGAAATCCAATAAAAAACCAGTAACGACAAAGTTAAGAATATTTTATAGAAAAGAATCCAGCCACGCTTTTCTGTCATGTGAAAATATCTGACATTCGCTTCAAGTGGTAGAAGCTGGGCACGTCAGGGGCTTGGCTGAAAATAGCTGGGTGCTCAAAATTTTTCTATTCTAGGGATGATCATATTAACTGGAAGAATACTAACTATAGTCCAAGACAGGAGTAATCCTGGTGCTTCTTATGGGATATAAGTTTAACTGGAAAGTCCCATGGAGGATGGGTTGAGGTGGAATGTTACTGAACTGAGGGTGTATTTGAGCTATTGGTAGGCACATCTAACTATGATCTATTTATTCTGGACAACAAAAATAGCAGAAAAAAACCCCAAAATACTTTAACTGCAGCATAATTTATACTAGCACATTGGCTGCTCTGAGTACGTGGTTATGTGATGAACACATTGACACTGCTATTGCTGCTGGACCTAGCTAGATTAAAGCAAATTATGCAAATCTCTGCTCTTAATGTCCCCAGATTGACTGCAAACATCCTTATAGGGAAAAAAAACCAAACAAGACTACTACTACAAGGAATATGGGGAGAGGTATGAGTCCAGTGATTGCCAACGTACCCTCCAAGAGACAGCGTCCCTGTGAGATATTACTCACAAAGGCAACTCACCCAAGGACGGGACAGAGGTGACACAGAGCCCTAAACTGGAGGCCCCATTATGAGGGACTGGTTAGGTCTCAGGGACTCAGTCCCCAAGGTGGCTGTCACTGCTGACCTAAGATCACCCAAAGCAGCTTAACACAAAAAGACCTAAACAGAGAGAGGTGGGACCACCATAACTGCCTCCACCCCTCTGACAGAGGGCAACAGCAAAGACTCTCTTGTAAACATGAGGGGCCAATACTGCCTCAGGTGACAAACGTGCTCTCCTCTCCTAATAGGACTGCAGCAGTGCTCAGGGTCAAGGGAGGCCCTACCCCAACACAGCACCATGCTGTGCACCAGGGCTCTTGTCAGCAGTTTAAGGGACTCCAGAGGGTTGCCAAGAGCTGTAGGTCTGACAAACGTCCTGCTCCTTGGTCACTGACAATCCTCTCCTCCTGTCTCGGCTGTCCTGCTGAAGGACAATGTTGTTTTTCTGCAAGGCTACCTGCAAATTTCCTTCTAGTCCCTGCAAAAGGCAGAAACCTCCTTTGAACTGCTGTGTGGAACAGGCCCATATGCCACCTGAAATATCTATAGACCAGGGAGTTCCCAGCTGCTGCTGGATCACAGAGTCAGCCCCATCCAACGTCCCAGAAATAAGGAGGAAACTCTGTGTTCGATCAGCAGAGAAAAACCAGTGGAGTTATTGCAGCTCCATGTCACAGGAGCCACAGAGAGGATCACCTGCAAGCCATTAGCCTCTACTCGACCACATGATGGATACCCTGGACTCCTTTCCTCCCAAAATATATCCCACCCTGTCTGAGCCAGGGAGGCATTTCTGCTAATACTACCAGGTTTATGACACAGCCAGTGAGAGCTCACTCCAGGCACTGGGAACACATGAACAAATACACACATGGTCACCTGCCATTTCATGACAGAGTATTATTTGTAAAGCATCACTGCTTCTACATCCTCAAATATTTAGGGAAAGGCTTTTCCCTTCAGTAAAAATGCACCCACATTTTGCCAGAGGAAAATTAGATGTAGAAAATATCCTGTGGAAAGATCCTTCTTTCTATAAGAAATGTCAACTTTTCTCCAACAGACTGGAAAAAAAAAACAAACAAATCCAAAACAAAAAGCAGAATATTTTTTTCCCACTTAGCAAGTTGTGTTATCATAGGGAAAAAAAAATCCAACATGAATCTAAATGTAGTCTTTTCCTGGCTCTTCCCTCTGTTTCTTTCACTAGGACAGCAGTTTCTAGAGAACTTTTTGAATCTGTGGGAGCAAAGCCAGAAAGCATTTCCCCATGCCCTGCAGACTGCTGGGCTCAAATTACTTAGTGGATTATCTCTTTATGATTAAAGGATTTTGGCTCATGTTCAGAGATGTTACAGTTCTTCCCATGAGGGGTCCTGTTTACTAAGCTACATCAGCAATTGATGCAAGTGTAAATGCTCAGAGAAGAGGGATGAGCCATTAATTAGGGTTTGGTTCAGTATATTCTTGTGAAAAGCTGCCAGGATGTCCTGAGTTTGGGCATAGGTTGGGTACAAGACAAAGGAGAAACAGGCATGGACTTGGGTTTTGCCTCATGGATGCATTTGTTTCCTGAATTATATGAGAACATAAAAAAACTCAATGACCAGAAGGGGTATAAGACAGAAAACTTGTAGAATTGTAGAATATTTCAAGTTGGAAGGGACCCATAGGGAGCATTAAGTCCTTGGGGACCTTCAGGTAGAAGCAAGGGCAAAAACACATACTTGTACATCTGTTCCATCTTTTCTTAACCCAGTACCTCTTCTATATAAATATTTATCCTACAACTCTGGCTGCTCTAGAGGAATAAAACAAAACATCATTTAAAGAATGAATTCTAAACCAAAATCAAACATGCTGCATCTACCCAGGTTACCAAGAGGATTTTCAAGCCCTCCCTCACAAAACCTGCCAGAGATAGGGCACAGCTGCTTCAAGTGCTGCCCCTGTTATCCTTCGAGTCTTGCCACAGCTCAGGGATTTTCTTTGCAAGGCACAGGGCACGTGGGCAGGAGGAAGAGGGCACTCATGCTCCAGAGCACCCATCTTCCTGGCTAACACTTTTCCAGCCCTAATGGGATGGGATTCATAGCACTGCCTGCCCCGAGCATAAAAATAACTCAACTGAAGGTGGTTAGAAAGATTTATGCCTTTCAGCAAGTTCCTTGCTTCCTTCCAGCCTGTATACAAGCGATCTCCTGACACAGCACAGAAACATCTTTATTTTAGGAACAGTGTGTCGTCACCCTTTTCACAAGGGCCATCCTAAACCTGATCAGGTGCCTTTGCTCCACCATTTGTCTCAAATGCTGGGCTGAACATGCAGCCCCAGTGGCCAGAGAGCTCCTAGTTCCCAGGTTGGCCTGGTCCAATCCTCTCACTCGTTCCCCTGTGTTTTACTTGACTGCCATTACATCAAAAGGTCACGTAGCCGCACTTGGGCAGTCCTATATGAAGCCCCACAGTAAGTCCTCCAGAAACCTCGATGAAGCTGTCTGCAGGGACAAGCCAGGAATTGCCTTCTCGAAGACTTCTTCTTCCTGCTCTTGTGCTTTATGTGGCTTTATGAAGCATGGCATTGCAGTGTTAGGGCAAAACTTCACAAAATATCACCCAGGAGTGTAGATGCCCTTCAGACTTCCCATGCCCAGGCTGTGCCCCCTTCTGCCAAGGCAATGGTGCTGCACAAGTGCTGTCTAGTGGGTACAGCAAGGGGCCATGAGTGCTTTTGCTGCTTTTCCATGTGTGCTGTTTCCCTGCACACACCAAACTGCTTTGCTCTCCTGCACAGCTGGTAGAATATGGATCCCCTTAGCAGGGGTCTGCCTGGCAAAACCCACTGCACAGGCTACCTGATGCTGGTGTCAGGATATTTATCCTGACTATCAGGAATGGATAAATATGAAGATAAAATCTCCACAGCCCCCCACTAGGTGTAGGATTGGGGTCTTGCTGGGATAACTACATTGCAAGGGTAAGTGCAGAGACGGGAAAGTGCAGAGACAGGTAAGTGACCTTGGTTTGCTTCACCATATGGCCAAATGAAGATACTTGTGAAAGCCTCCGCCTGGCATTTTGCATTTGTAACCATTTTGCCCTTCCAGTGGGCAGGCACAGATCCCTTTAAGATTCAGGAGGCGTGCTGGTGAGCGTTCCGAATGCACGAGAACTTGCATTTCCAATGGAAATTGAAAATGCCTGAGTCACCGTTTTATCAGGTGCTGAATAAGAACAAGTTTATTTTTTTCATGCCTATAATTATATGTTTGGAAGGGGCTGGAGCAGCTCTCAGAATGAGGAGGGAAGATGCTTGAGTGAGCTGTGCCAATGGAGAGGGCCCTTGGTTGGACAGAGCAGGGGGAAGAGCAGTGCTGGGGCCCACAGAAGCTGATGCTCCCTGGGAAAACACATTTTGCTTGTTTCTTTCCAAAGTTTGTGCTTTGGGGAGGATCAGAAAGAGTGGGCAAGAAAAAACCAAAGGGTTTTTTTCATTTGGGGGGCTTTTTGGAAAAACGTTATGTTCCATAACTAAATCAATCCCAACCTAGGCCAGGAGTGAGCAAGGACAAACAAAAACTATCTTCCCCACTTAAAGTACATTAATGTTCCAGCATTTCCTAGCTAGCAGACAGGCCAGGGTTGGCATATTTAATATCTCATCCCTAGAAGGTGTTTCTTCTCAACAAGGAGAGAGAGCACAGAAGAAAAGAAGGAAGTACTCTGCTGGTATCATTCTTGACATATGGCTATATCTGGGTGTTTGTTCTTGGCAGTTCAGTGCCTGCCACATAGCACGACCCCTCCATCAGGCAGCTGTCAATACTGGGAAAATTGAATTTACTCTTAATGAAAGACCACAGCCAATAAGCAATCAGGCACTGTCTGTTCTCCATCCCATCATTAATGAGCCAGGGGATATTTGTCTTCTGCAGCACTGCCACAGCTCTTCCACCTCTGCAACTATAGGTCTGAGTCACATCCCAAACTGGAGGGTGCACCTC